GTGTCGATGTGTGTATATCTGTGTTTGTGTGTGCTCGGTCTTTGTGTCCATGGCCGTGTTTCGTTTGTGAATGTGTTTTTGCCATGCAGTGAAAACAAGACAAAGGAAGTTTTATATTCCCATATTACCGTTAACACACGGAGGCTAGATGCTGCGATCCATTTAAGCGATGGTTTCAACACATTACCACATACCAACACCAGTTAAAATCCAAACATAAACGTAATAGATTTTTCTGTCTTCCTTGCATATTCAAACGGGTCTTTCGGTTTAATATTGTTGCCGCGCTGTTGATGTTGCTGTTTGGCGATACATGTGACGTGGTCTGTGTCTATCTCCCGAGTTAAGATAGGATACATTGTGGAGAGCGTCACCAATGCAACCGACTTTTGTCATATCTTTATGATACACATGCGACCACTTTGCCGAAAAAAAAACTTTCAATGTTCATCATACATACTGCGAGGGATATGCGCGCCCAAATCAGCATGAAGAATGATGCTCCACGACGACAATGCAAGCCGACAAACTTTACAATGTTTCACGTCGATCGAGCTTGCTTTCATTGGTTGGTTTCAATACCAAATGAAGCGTGACGAGCATCGAAAAAGAAAAGATAGAAAATAACGAATCTAAAGTTCTCGATATGTGCTCATGTGGTAATTTCTGTGATTTGCACCCAAGTGCAAGCAAGAAAAAGGCAAAAGAGGAAGACATGCAAAGAGATAGGTAAAGAGAGGCAGGCAACGGTTTGATATCTCTTCCTTTGCCAGAAAACTTCGATTGCTTTTCTTTCGGAAACTTGGTCGCCTGCGTTCACTTACTCTGTGTTTCATTTTGTTTCCGTCTTTTCCGCTCTTTTTCAGTTTTTCGTCTCACATTTATATAAATATTCTTATCGACCATCGATGTGTTCAATATGTGTATATGAAGGAACCAGCAGCTGCAGCAGCAGGCATACTCTATCAAAAGCAAAACGGCTTTTGTGTATGGGCGAGATACTGTGTAAAAATTCTATTGAATATACTGTATTGAGTGCTTGAAATAGCAATAGAATAGAGGTGATACCACCGACAAGAATATCAAAACCGAATATATATGGGAAACGCGCGCGCTGCGACCAAGAAACTAGAAAATAGAGAACAAAAAACTGTACACACATTGTACATAGTATGAAAATAAAGTTGAAAACCATTACAAAACTAATACGTTCCACTTTAGAATGTGTACATTTGCCATTCGCCACATATGTTGTATGTGTGTGTGTGTTTGTGTGAAAAGAGTGTGGTGAGTTGATGCGCAGCGCGAATGAATAACGATTTGTAGTTTGGTGTGTTTCGCATGCATCCGATTTCAACGAGTCGACTTCTCTGCTGTTTTTTTTTCTTTCTTCGTTGCTACTCCTGTCGCCGTTATTGCTGCCGTCGTGGTTGTTATATAAATCATACAATCATTCAATCTATTCATAGCACACGTAAAAGAGATAAACGAACAAACATGCAATGCTACTACAACACATATGCCACTTAGACTGTATTTTCCAGCGCGCGCTAAGGAATCATCATGGTGAATTTATGTTTCGTAATATTCAAGTGTGTGAAGCCATGAGTTTGTGCATACACATCCATCTAATCTTTGGGCTGTGAATAAGAGACACACTCACACACATTGCCTTTCTTTACACCATTGCTGTACTCAATTTTGCTGTGGAGATTGGTGTCGACGGTGTAAGAAAAGCAGAGCAATATAGAGCAAAAGAAAAAAATCGAGTATTCAATATGCATATTTAAGCAAGCGGTAACGAGGTAGTCGGTAGAGATGTGCGTGAGCGCGCACACTTCTCTTGCCCGATTATGATATCCAAAACGATGGCAAATCGGAACGATAGAACCGACAAAAAATAACCTGGCTCAAAAACGACGTGGATCGGTTTCATCAGAGTATTTGTGTGTGTTACCGTCATCGTCGTCGTCGTCGTCGGGTGTGAGCGCGTATCTGACAGAACGGAAAATGAAAAAGGTGGTTTACCGCATTTTGCATGTAATTGTTCTTTCGGCGAAATAAATGTGCTCCGTGCGATTCATTGAGTATTTCATTCACGTTCCAATGTGAATAATAGCCGAACGAACCAGCAGACGTTATTTCATTACTTAACGCATTAGCACACACGCACATACACCAGCGAACCTACAACGGTGCCAATATTACCCTGTGCACTCTTGACGACGTTCGACACATAAATATATATATACACACACACACGCGAAGGAATATATCGAAAACAAAACGAAGTAGAAGAAAGGGAAAAAAATAAACGAAAGACGACGGCAGCAAGAAAATGAGCGCGTGCATTTTTCGGAAGGCTATAACATGTTGAACGAATGTTCTTGGTGCGCGCACATCGTCCACATATATATATATTTCTTATGTCGATTTCCATCATTCACATTCAATTTGTGCTCTCGTACAACCGTCAATTTTCCCAACAACGAATTCATTTTTAGCACGAACCTTTAATTGCTGCAAATGTGTACAAGTGCGCCGAAGAGAGAAAGAGAGATGCGAATGTGTGCTCGACCGTCTGCCTTAGAAAGAGCCCTTTCTTTTCATGCAAACAGAACGCGTTTCAGTTATAGTTTTTTTTTCTTTTTCGGTTGCTGCTGCTGCTCTGCTGCTTCATTTGGCCGTTTTTGCCTCTTCGGTCGTGATTATTTGATTGTTCAGTGAGCGGAAGCATATGCGATCGATGTATTTGTACATGTTCATTGAGCACTTCTCCGTATCGATTGTCGATTGCTTTTGCAATCATGCTTTGGCGTCGAACAATTCCATGGTACTTTTCTTTGCCATGGCAAGCAAACACGACCAAACCAATTTTGCTCTTTCCTCCGTTTGTATAGTGTGTGTACTCTTCCTTTGTGTACAAATGATGAGAAGAACCCATCTCTTGCGTTATAATTATGATATAAATTACACAAGAAATTTCGTACACAAAAATCGAGCATTTATTATTGAAATGCCACGGCTGGCTGGCAAGGAAACACACACACAATGTAAAATGAAATTTTTCATTTGTTATTCTCTTCCAATCGAATGCTCTCAACGCGTGCTTACATTAAATCTAAACAAAACAGATGTGCGCCGCTGGTGTGTATATGTGAGCACCGCCGCAACGCGCAACAATCAAACAAAATTGAGAATATGAGCCGAATAAATCAGCTTTGGCTGCAGTAATAGCTGATGGTTTTCTCGAAAACAAAACAAAATCATTTGTTTACATTTTGCATTTTTTTTTCGTTGGATGATGAGAGAAGAAAGCATGAACAAACATTGGCACATAGATTTGCCGATGAAAGCACAGAAAGAGGGAGAGAGAGAGAGAGAGAGTGAGAGAAAAAACAACACCAACAACATTAACAAAACGTGCAAATCAATTTGTTTAAGTAAATTGAGTGGGCAAAGTTTTCTAATTTATTTGTAAAATTCCGTTTTTATTTCTCGTTCTCGTTTTCGTTTGCTCCATTCATTGTGCGGCCTGAGCGTAAATTGTGTTGTGCAAAGCACGGCTGAACGAAAATCCATGCCACTATCTGAAGAATGGGAATTTATTCGGCTATGCGATGAGCCGTTGCTGCTACATTTCTCATTGTCGTAGCGTCATGTTTAGGCAGTCATTCAATGAGACACTTTGGGAGTGAGAGAAAGAATCATTGGGGAGAGAAGGAGAGAGAGAGAGAGATAGAGAGTGAGGCAAATGAGTTTTTCCCAACATTCCTTTTGCTGTCAAGTTTCCCGATAGCGCGCGAGAAAGAGAGAGAGACAGAGAAGTGTATCGGCAATAATGAAGCCAATCGAACGATGATCAGCAACAGCTAGCATTTCGACACATGCCAATGGAAATGGAACACACAATCCAATGTGCAGTACGTTGAGATATACGGGGCAATAGCAATAGCGAAAGAATACGCACATTGTGTATCATTTGTTCGACGGTTGTTTTTCCACAATCACTATCCATTACAACCATGCCATATCTCCATTACCTATGCCATGAGAATATTTCGATTCGGCTCCGTGCGCATATTTTCCAACTGCGTTTTTTTTTTTCAGAACGAACGCGCCAAGACTGAAAGAGAGAGAGGGAAAAAAACATTCTTTCTTCATCTACACGTTCGACACTGTGTATTCCGTAAGCATTGCGGCATGTATCCAGGGCGAACTCACAAAGGAATCATTCACTCTCGCGCTGAGTCAGAGGAGCTCGGTGTGTGTGTGTTTTCTTTTGACATGGCATTTTCAAATGACAAACGATCATGGAACATCGTTAGTACACACAAATACATACGAACACATGTTTCCATTCCGAAAATGGATTTCATTGGAAGACGGATCCAAAAGCTGTACATGTGTTTTGATTGCTGGTGCGCATGTGATTTATATCAAAGCTTGAGTGGAAAACGTGGGGCAACAGCAGCAGCAAACAAGCGGCCAAATGCACACAGCACGGTATAGCATGAAATCCACATGCACATACACATACACACGCGTGGAAAGCACGCACGGCAAAGGAGTAGTTGCGAAAAATATCGAAAAGACGAACAACGAATTTTCCAGTTTTCGAACTCACCGAGTGAGTGCCGTTTGTTTTTTTTTTCTTTTCTTTTCTCGTCCCGTTCGTGGTTGGTGTTCAGTGAACATTTTGCCTTCGTCATTGCTGTGTGTGGCTTTGTTCGCGGCTCGCATTTCGCATCCGTTCATCATAGACACCAGTTTTCACAATACATATCAGTCATCGTCACAACGCCGAACAGTTCATTCATCATCAACGAATTTTTCGTCCCGATCACACGAACAGTAGAGAGAGAAAAATCTCTCTGTATTTTCCTTTGCCAATGATCAAATCCTCTACCTTGAGAACGAGAGATACACAGAGAGAAAGTAAAGCGATAAAGTTCTTCAAACCATCTTCAAAAACTCGACACACAAAAAATATATTTTTCTTCAGTAGCAACACAAAAGCAACAACTTTTCGCTCACTTTGTCCTTTATTCTTAATATACGATAATAATTTTTTCTGTTGTTACTCTTGCCATTTTTACCCACATAAATATACGTTGCAAGCATTAAGCAAGCTGATGTTTATCACACATACAATTGTGGTGCAAAAAAAAGAAGAGAAACTTTGTCGACAAAGACTAACATAGAGAGCGAAAAAAAAATTTAAATTACATTTTAACAAAAGGCAACCGAAGGGACAAAGTAGTGAGTGAGTGAGAAAGAAACGCTTTATTTTTGCGCTGATATAAAAGAGCAGTCGTAAAGAAATCAAGTTGGATGGGGAGAATGTAAAAAAAGTTGGAAAAACGAACAAGCAAAATATAATATCGGTGAAATGTGTAAAAAAAAGAGTGTTTCTTACGAGTGTGCCAAGTGCTTCGAATAAACAAAACACACGAAGAATATTTTCTCTTTTTCTTTTTAAAATGTATGTTTTTTTCGCGGTACTTTTTCCTTCGCTGCTTTTTTCCGTCTGCCGTTCGCCAGTGCCTCTCAGAAGAAGAAAAAACAAGTTGACACATTTTTCATAAAACTTCATCACGCATACGATTCTCGTATGAATATGCGATTGATTCGAAAGTATTATCAGAGTTAAGCTTTCTTCGGGTCTCGATGCCAAAAGAAAAACAGTGTCAAAGCATAAATACGAGTTACGAGAATGTAGAACAACTTTTGATGACTGCTTTTTTTCGGCATAATGGATTGTTCACTTCTTTGATTTTCATGTGCTTGTACATGAACACAGTCGTGCAATTTTCCTCTTTTCCTACTTGTTTCCGCTTGTTTGACTTGCGGTGGCAATCACACGCGTCCATAAAAAAGTCATCTGAAAATTGTCACATTTTTCATGTGAAATATTCAACAAGAGCCATGCCGCTATTCAAAGTTGAATTTTTCATCGGGAGTGCTGCCGCTTTCGCGATTACAACCGAAATCTGCTCTCTCATTTTCCACACCGTTTAGCTTGAAGTTCATTTTTGTTTGCAACATAAAAGTGAACGAGGAAAAGAAGCGGAGCCGTCAAATTCAAGCTCATTTTCTTCCATAGACATAATAATTTATTGAAATTGATATTTCGGTTAGTCTATCGACCAGTTTCGTTTGAAAACATCAACCAAAAAATATATACGACCCCTTTCGACCAAAAAGTTTGAGACTTCGACCAAAAACAAAGAAGTGTGTACGCATTCTGCCTATTTGGAAATTCGATCACGAACCTAGGGGAATATCACGCTTAAATTATTTCAAATATTTCAAAAAAATCCAATTTATCTCTAAGAATCTGTCGTATGAAATATGGTGGATATTTGTGAATACGGCGAAATATTGTGGATTTTTGTGATTATGAATGATATTTAAATGTATTTATTTAGATTTAATGCAAAAAATCTCAAATATGTCCAAAATCCACAAAAATCTGATTTATTTATTCGAAATATTCGAAAATATGTCATACAATTGATGTTTATTTCAAATATCTCAAATATCTCACAAGATTCAGGAGCGTGATATTCCCCTAGTCACGAACTATTTTTATTTACATACACAAAAACCAATTAAACAGACAGAATTTTTATTTAATAAGTCGATTAGAATCAATTCGAGGCACGGAACAACGGAGAAAATATACCGTCTATCGTGCACACTCAAAATCGATATGCAGAGTCGTGTTTCGCTTCGTCAAACGAGCAAAGAGAGACAGAGCGAATGTGAGATATTGAGGAAAAAAAACATACTTTTCGCATTATCTATTAAAAGGCGGCACTTCGATATGGCTCTGGCTCGACTCAGCACAATGAGCACTAACAACGCGAACATAATTTTTTATGTGTGACACCACAACAGGAAAACCGTTCAGGTATACCGACAACCGACACACATACACACACCGCCCTGGATTTATATTCTAGTCACGATATCCGATTTCGACTAAACGCGCGACGAAAGCACATTTTCAAAGTCTCGGACAATAAATTTTTCAATGCAATTTTCCATGATAGAGTAGAGCCGAATGCGGGAAAAAAATGTGAGAGAGAGAAGAAGCGCCCAACCTCCAATTGGTTCTCTTAATACACACATTTTCAAACGACTACTTTGGCCACTGCTGCTCCAATGTGATGATGTGCTGTGTGTGTGCTTTTCTGTTTTTTCCTCCGGTGAAAGCAGCAAAAAAAAAATCCATAGAATTTTACGAGCAAGTTTTTCCATTACGGCCATTCGCGGGTACATTTAATTTAGTTATTCGTTGAGTAAAAAAAGACGATTTCATTTTTCCATCTTTTATGAAAGAAAATCTGTGTGCGACCACCACTCGGAGCTGAGATTCTTATTTTCGCATTCATGCCCGACAAAGCATTTTACGAGTGACGGCTTTGACGTGTGTTTTTTGTCTCTTCTTCATCATTCTCTCGAACGTATTAAAAACGCTTAATGCCCCAGCGTTGGGCAGCATAAAATAAAGAAGACAGAGGGGAGAGTAAAAAACAAAAAAGTTTGTTTTTCAATGTAAATTAAATTTTTTTTTGTATACGTGACAGGATAAAACAATTAAATGTCATTCAAGTGTAAAGATTTAGTGAAATTGATTATTCTTCCATTAATTACCCGGCTATTAAAAGCGCTCTCATGTGCAATCAAAAAGCAATTTTCAATCAGATTCAGTCGTTTACTCCGTCATTCCTTCGTTTATTCGTTTGCTCGTACGCTCGCTGTAAATTCTCTCAGTTTTGGTCGATACACATAAAAATGTGAGAATTGAAACGAATATCACAGAAAACTGAAGTGAAAAACACAGAAAAAATTGTTGTTTTTTTTTCAGTTTTCACACATTTTCCGCGAGTATGACGTCGATAATTTACAACTTCTAAGCTGTGTGTATAACGCACGCATTCACATAGCCTAAAATAGCGGAGAGACCGAATGAAATTTTAATGAAATTGGAAAACAATCAATTGAATCAATGGTTATAAAAGTTTTTCTCTCTGTTTTAAATGCACAAGTGACTTTAACTTTAAAATCACATCTCGACATACTGAGAAGCCATAAAATCGGTGATGCCATTTCAGAATGGGCAAGCAAACGAATTGGAATTAACGACGAAGTGAGAGAGAGAGAGAGAGAGAGAGAGAGAGAGAGAGAGAGAGATTGAGTGAGCGAGACAGTGTTTGAGTGACTGAGTGAATGAGCGAACGAGCGTGTGATTGAGCAAGCACGGAGAAAGAAGCGAAGGGGGAAAAATATAGCGAAAAATGTTGATTGTGAAATCATTGAATGATTGTTTTATGATTGGGATAAGAAGCCAAATGCGTTTAATATTTTGCAACGAATGGTCTTGATAGCATTTTATTGGCTGATGATTTACACAGAGAGACGTTCGCTTGCTCGCTTGTACGAAGTCTAAGTGAGCAAATGGCATACAAAGTTTTCCATTCTCTCCCTTCCACCGCTCCATGTGTTTGTGTTGCAACTTAAGCACATTTACTCTCTTTCACATCGAATTGGTTTTCCACTTCTTATTCATCTCGATTTTCATTTCTCTTACATCCTTTCTCTCTCTCTGTGTGTGTGTTTCTCTGTCCATCTAGAGACATAAACTGATATTTATGCACAACTCGGATACATAAAATTGATCAATCAATTTGCCAAAGTGGTAACGGAAAATAAACCGCAATAAAAGTAGCACAAGAACATTATGTGATGAGATGTGCAGCAAGTGAATTGAAAACTAAAGAACATCGACCAAAAAAGCAACAACAACAACAGAAGCAACCGAAAACCAAAACGAAGAAACGACACCGACAACTTCAACGACTACGACGACAACTATCGATAACAACTAAAAGAAAACTAACAACCAGAAATACGACGAATGTTAAAAGTGATAAAGTGAAAAAGCAACTCTATCTGTACATGTTACATTGTGAATATGTGTATGTGTGTGTGTGTGTGGGGAGAGTGAGTAAAGTGTTTGTGAAAAATCGATGGTGAAGTTTTGAATCGAAGATAGAAAGAGAGAAACGGGAAAATAAATCCGTAAAATAAGCTGCTTCCTTTTTAATACTCATGTGCATGCAGAGAAAGAGCAAATAGTACAGCTGTAGCAGAAGTAGTTGGCCAAATGGTATGTATTGAAAATCAATGTATGCGCATATGCATGGAAAAAAAACCAAGTATTGATGTACGGTATGGTAAAATGTACAGAGCTTATATGACAATGATTGCATATTAAATAAATTATAACTATCGATGAGACATATAGAGAATAACGCAGTGGTGTAGTGAGTGAATGGGAGCCAGAGAGTTGATGTCTATTTTTTGTCTTCGTTTTCGCATGCATGACATTTTCGTGAAAGCCAACGTACATATTGACCTGATCTGTCTTTATAGCCAACGTGTGTTGGTTGCTTGGCTGCCACAATTACTGTCGAGCGTACTCATACACAATGTGTACAGTACAATGTCACCGTGTCGACCAAGTGCCACCATCAAATGAGCAGCAGAGAAAGCGTTCGACACAAAGACGACAAAAACGACGAAAATTTATGATTTTTTTGTTTCGGAATTGTTTTATCAATATATATGGCAACCTGGCGAATAAATGAAGACTCTGGTCGTCGTGGAGGTGTGTATAAAGAGTTTCTTTCGAGTGCGTGAGTGTGAGAGAGTGAGTGATTGTACGCGTTATCTGTCGTATACATTTTCCCGAGCACATGCTGTTCCAAATATCATGCGGAATACCAAGTCAGCTGGAATGAAAGAAACAAAAGAATTGTCGACGACGACCGAAAAAAGGAGATCGCAAATCAATATGAACATCGACACGATTGTGTATTGGCATTCGACACTGTCGAAAATGTTTGTTGTCCTGGGTGGATTCGCGGTCGGTCGAACAGGGCGGGTGGGCGTACATGAGGATAAAACGCTTTGGAAAAAATGAACAACACACACTGAAAGTGAGCGAAAAAGCAGAAATTTATATGACGGAAAATTACTTCTTCGATTTTATGGTCGTGCATGAGCGACAGTTGAACTCTCTGCTGTTGTGTGTGTATGTGAGTGCGACTGTCATAACCTAAATTAGTATATCCACCGAATGAATGAACTATATTTATTCTGCTTTTTTTTCTTCATTCGCATTCTTTTCATGTGGAGGTGAACTGTGTCAGTTATTTATTTTACGACTTTTTCTCTCTTTCCTTGTATATATACGCAGGCGGTGCGCAAGTTGCTGTTGTTCATGTTTATGTGCGATTTAGTTTTTTTTCTTCTCCATTCTCAGATGAATAAACACTGAAAAATATGAAATGGTAGCAAGTGTCTGTCTCTTTCTCCTACTGTCTTTGTTTTCACGTTTCATTGGACGCAATATGGAGGTGCACAAAAGAGACAAGCAAACGATGGAATGTTGATGCGAACTGACGACAAAATGTCAAAAGCACAGTATAGAAAAGAGAGAAAGAATCCAATATTTTGATCAAATAATGGTGTTCCATATAGAATTTATGGCATTCACTTCAAATGAAGAGAAAACTTTGAAACAACTCTTGGAAAAATGAAAATAGCAAAAGTTAAAAAAAGAAGAGATCGCGAGTAATGCAATCTCCCATAATAATTTGTGGAAGGCAACGAAGAAGAAATCAACTATACTTAAGAACAGTTCTTAAATGAAAAAAAACTCTTAAATTACGTTGCTGAGGAGGCACGGACAACATTCTTGCGGTTATCCACGTTGTTGACGACAGCATCGTCGGAGGCTGAAAATTACAGTTAAAAACATTGACACTATACCAAAAACTACAAATATATTCTATTCGTTTAGGAAACTTTTCGCCCCGAAAATCTGCCATTTCCGTCGGTGTGACATAGCACATTGGCGTTTTTGTATTCCATCGCTTCAAGGAAGTTGGGCTTGCAAAAGCACAAAATATCATGACAGACACCAGCAAAACAAAAACTTGAACCATATCATACGCACACACGTAGACATACGCAAAAACCAACAACTCTGACTGCCTGCCTGCCTACTTGCCTTGACATATGCGAATATATTTTTGACGCATTCAAAACGAATAACTTGTGATGGCAGAAAAACCCACGAAAATGTTCTTGGTGGAAAAGTTGTGCTCGTGCTTGAACGGGAACAGTCAAGTCGAGAGAAAGAGAAAAAAATGTTTTGAAATAAAAATATATATTACAAAAAAGAGACCGACCCAACGAACGAACGAACGAACGAATGAATGAACGAAGTCAACCGAAGTAATAACAATAATCATTATGATTAACGAAATGAAAGTGCTGAGTGGCTGAGTGTGTGTATGTGTGCGCTTCTGTATGCTATGTGCATGAATGTAATGAATAAAATTATACTATGAGTTGCAGACTTTTCCGTTGCGTTATATTCAAAATCATATCATACGGTTCTCACTCTCTCGGCTATATGGCTCAAAGTTATTCGTTACATTTTTCATTGACGTTGACGTTGACGTTGTGCGGGGCGGAATTTTATGCATTTTCTGCTTGAAATGAAATAAAATAAATTCAATCACAAAAATATAAATTTCGGCGCCGTCACACTCGGCAGTGAAGTTGAAACTTTTTCGGCAGCTTTTGCTATTGCTGTCACTGTTACTACTGTGTATGAGCTATGCTGAGGAGAGCATTTGCTGCGGAAATACTGGATGCCAGCTCTTTTCCACACCGTTCACTTCCAGTGAAAATTACATAAATAAACATCATTTCTATTTTGCGACGCCCGACGCGGTATGCGATGAAATTATGGGTGTTTTTGTGCTTTTGTTTCTGATAACGTCCCCTTATTCCCAGTCTCCACCGACAGCAAAGCTGTTTCTCCTCATTCACACTACCACCGTTTTGCAAAAGCACCAGGCCGCGTTCTGTTTCCACGGTGCCATTTTTTTCGCCTTCTTTGCTTGTCTTATTTACATCAAATTGAGAATTGATGTGTTTGTTTTAAATTAAATTGGTCGTCGTGTGTATACGAAATCCCAGTTTAAGAGGTCGACAAGCGAAAACGTCGAACGACAAATGAAATGAAGTGAAATGAAAAGAGGGAATATTTATACGTATATTCAGCATGCCCTTCGACTTTAACTGAATGGCAGAATGGCAATAATAACAATAGCCCAGGGGGATAAAAAGCTGTACGTGTAAATGAATGTAAATGAATGGTTTTACCTGTGTTATTGCTGGTGCTGTTGTTGTTGTTGTTGTGCCTTGTCAAGAAAAATACAAATAAACGCATTAATAATAACGCAAACATTTCGAGAGTATTTTTCGCATGCAATTGTAATTATTTCCATGGGTAAATCCGTGCGACGAAAAGGAAACAACCAAAACAACGTAGAAATATTCTACACATTCTCTTCGCCTGACAAAGCAACAGCAACGGCTACGGCCACATTAAACAACAGAAGCGCGCGCACGCACACACACGCCCAATTATACACACAAAGCGACACAATCGGTACTCACGGCCTGAAATGTGAAAATTACAAGAAAATTGCACCCGAAAAACAAAACAAAACCGGAGCGAAATGCTTTTAATGGTGAAATACAAAGCAATTTTAAAATGTGATTCAAACACAGAACAGAAAGAGAGAAGTTTCAAAGAGAGGCGCCAAAACTTTTCGGCGCATCAGATCACCGAGACGAAGAAGTAATTCAGGTTGTCCAACATGAATGCTTAACGAAAAATTATCCACATTTTTTGAATTTATAACGAAACAATTAAGCTAGTTTACATTTTTAAAAACGTTGTACTCTTCCGTCTGAAACCGGACGCTCAATTGTCGAAGCGCATTCGTGGCGAGTGCGAAAATTGTGGAATCGGACAGCTGGAACTTTATAATGAGATGAATTATAACAGAGAAAAGGGCCGACGGGGGAAGATAGAATGAGAAATTGAGTGGAAGAGAGAGAGAGAGAGAGAGAGAGAGAGAGAGAGAGAGAGAGAGAGAGAGAGAGAGAAAATGAACTAAGTGCGGGAGGAACACAAAAATTGAACGCAACCGAGTACTCTCATGATGCTAAAGCCAATTTATTTACTTTGTAACAGCATATTTTCGTTCTGGCCACCATTTAAAACCATACTGTGTACAAAAGATAATGTAAATGTAAGTGTAAATGAAAATGAGACGCAGGCGGCATTTTCTCGCTCTTTTTCTTTCTCTTTCACACAGTGTGTTTTTCTCTCTGTGTTTGAATTTACAGCGAAAGCATTCTTTCTTGTCCATACACTCTCACGCAGAGAAAAAAGACGGCGTCGAATAGGAATCCGTACTTTCGTCTTTTATTTAACTTTTTTTTGGCTGGCAAAACTTTGTGCGAATATTACGGCGCATTTATGTTCCATAATAATTTTGCTCTGTGCCACATTTTGCATCATCCGGGTTGAAAAATGGTGAAAATGAATACCAGACGAGACGAAAGCCGATATAACAAACGCTCAGGCCAGAAGAAAAAGAGAAAAGAAAAAAAATCGCATTTTATCTAAATCGTAATAATAATAAAAAATTCAAAAGGAATGAGGGCAAATGGCAACAACAGCAACCAAATTGAAAATACAATTTAATCCTGGTGTTTTTAAGTGAATAATTAAACATCCAAATGGAACGGTCACGAGTTTTCCTATCTCTCTATGTGTGTGTGTGTGTATGGTTCTGGTTTTTTCGTCACGATTTGTTGTTGTCGTCATCGTCGAGTGATTCATGGAAGAATGAGCGTGATCAGCAAATGAGTGCAAGGATTGAAAAACAGGGGTGATTTTAATCAGATTGTTATCTGCCAACCCTATCGCTGTGTGTTGTGTAGGCGAATGGCTTAAATTGTTTGGTTTTGCTTAGCTTTGTTTGATAAAATCCAGCTTGTTTGTCCTTTTTCATGCGATTCGCATCAGCAGAACCAATGAACGCCATGTCGAACATACGGTTTTTTCCGTTCTGATTTGAGGCAGCACAGCTCTCGGGAGAGAAATCGCAACCATGAATGAAACTTGGTCATCGTATTGATGACACGTCGCCAATTTTCACTAGTGAAACTCCAAATGGCTACTCTTACAGTAACGCTTTCTATCCGTTTCGAAAGCGCTGTGCAAGCACACCT